AGCAGAATGCTAAAGAGCAATTTGTTACAGGATGTCCATCAATTCCAGAGTCTTCAGGAGGGAGGGAGGAGATCTGGTTTGAAGGTTGAACATCCAGGGCAGAGCTAGGTGTCAGGGATGCCCAAGTCTCCATCCCTGCATTCCCAGCAGGTTCAATGCCTCCACTGTCTTTTTCCTGAGAGTAGTTTCCCACTGACACCTGTTCTTTTCACGGTTTTCTCTACAAGTGAAATCTCTTGGGTGCCACCCATTGGTGGAGTTAAGGTCACATGCTCAGGCCTTTGCTTCAAAGGAGGCTGGGAAAGCCCAGTGTCATCTGGATTAGTTGCTCTTTAGGTCATCCTGGGAGCCACGTTTTTCTGGATCTTCTTCTTTACCTCTCTTCTGGATTCCTCTTCTTCATTTTGGTGGAATATCTCCAAAAACATTCTGAGGAAAGGTACAAGAGAGAGAATATTTTTGATTGATTGATTGATTTTTTTGTACCAGGGTTTGAACCCAGGGGTGGTTAACCACCCGAGCCACATCCCCATCCCTTTTTATATTTTATATAGAGACAGGGTCTCGCTAAGTTGCCAAGGGCCTTGCTAAGTCGCCAGGCTGGCATTGAACTTGCAGTCCTCCTGCCTGAGCCTTCCAGGCAGGCACCAACGCCCCTGGCAACATTTTTGGTTTTTCAAATCTGGATGTGTCTATTCTCCTCGATTCTTAGTCGATAGTTTAGCCGTTTGTCTAGAAAGAGGGTCCTAGATAGAAATATTTTTCCTTCAGAAAATTGCTCTCTTGTCTTTTAGCTTCTATTGGAGAGAAACTTGGACTCAGTTTAATCATCTCCTGCCTTTGAGCAGGCCTGTTCCCACCCACTGGGTTTCCTGGCTTCTTAATCTGAAAACTTGGGGCCTTCATCTTAAATTATTTCTTTGACGTTTTCTTCCCTTCTGTTTCTCTGGTCTCTCTTTCTGGGACATCTTATTTTGATGCTGGGCTTCTTGGGGGTTACCCTCTGATTTCTTCAGCTAGTTTTCTTGACCTTTGGTTCTGTTTGTGGGGAGATTTCGTCATCTTTCCAACTTCCAAGACTTTATTGAATATATTTTTAAAAATTTTCTGCTATTTTAAAGTTATTTTTGGTTGCATAGATGTTTCTCCTTCTTTCTTTTCTTTTCTTTTTTTTTTTTTAACATTTTGATTTCATGGATTCCTCTGGCCCAAATATTTTCTCTGCCTGCATAGTTTCTGTTTCCTGCACGTAGATGATTTTGGTCTGTCTTACATGTTAAAAGGGTTTCTTAGATATCATTTTATTTACACGTGCGTCCTAAAAGGCCGACTCTGCTCACATGAGTGCAGGTGTCAATGGCTTTACTCAAAGGCCGTGATTTCCGAATCTTCCTGCACTTAAGAATCACCTGGGGAGGTTTTTATTTTATTTCATTTTTTGGTGGGGGGAGGTTTTAAAACGAGAAAACCTGGCTCTCTCCCGCTAATTAAATCAGAATCTCGGGCAGGGGGCTGTGGGACTGGTATTTTTTAAGGCACCCCAGGTGGTTCAAATTGCAGAGTGGAGACTCTTGCTTTGGGGTGATTTAGCTCAGCTGTGGGGAGACGAGCCTAACAGAAACCTAAGTTGACTCTGGGAACTTGTAACCGCACACGTCCAACCCCGTGTCCGATTTCCTCTCTTCTGAACGAGAAATGGTGGGAGCCAACGGAGAGTAACTGTAGGAAGTTGTGTTTCCCAACAGGAGTCAACTCTCAGGGACGTATTCCCCCAAGAAACGCACGACCAGTGTCCGTCCTTAGAGGGCATGAGGCAGATCCTTTGGCTGAGCTGCGTTTCTCTGGAGCAGGTCAGGTTACCCGGGAAGAATCTTCCAGGCCCTTGCTTTTGTTTTCACCAGCGTGCTGAGATCTGAGCCGGGGAAGGAGCCTGTGGGTCTCATAGCCATATTTAAGCTTTAACTCCATGTCCTGTCTTGGGCACAGCTCCTCCCCCCCCAACAGGTCCTGGGTGTCCTTATGGCAGGCATGGATTCATGTCCACGGTCCCCCAGGGCCAGAGGGCGTTGGCCTGGGGAGAGGAGGAGGAATTAGGTCTGAGGCCTCCTGGGACCCCGCGCAGGTCTTCTCCCGTGTTAACCCCCCTGACACCCCCAGCCTGGGTCCCGGGTCTGCAGTCCCTCGGCTTCCCCTGCCCCAGCCTTCCTCGTCCATCAGGGGCCAGCCTCCGTATGGCTGCTGGTTGTCACTCATCTTGTTCTTCTGTGTTTATTCCTTTGAAGGATCCCTTCTGGGGCTGGGTGTGGGGCTCAGTTGAGCAGTTGCTAGGACGTGCAAAGCCCTGGGTTCAGTTCCCAGCACACTCGTGCATACACAGGTGCACACCACCCCTAAAGGAACAGTGCTCCCCATGACCATAGGAAGAATTTGTCCCGTCGCTTTGTGTGACACAGAAGCTACTCGGATCTCGGGGATGGGCTCACTTACAATGGCCAAGTTAACTGTTCAGGTGTCGTTAACTTTCCACGAGGCATGAGCTTCACTGGGAGCCTTCCAGGGTGGTGGGCTGGTGAGAGAGAGAAGATTTTGCGGAGCATTGATGTGACAAACTTTTTAAAAGTGTCACTTTGTTTCCTTTTTAGCTCAGAAATGCAACGGACTGTTTCCTGGAGGGTGCGGAGGGCTGAGCTGAGGTCTGGGCTGCCCTCCTTGCTCCGTGGGTTCCCTCCGCCACGCTGCTGGAGCGTGTTCACAGATGGTCTCTCCAGGTGAGCTGGGCTGGTGCATTTGATTGGTTTCGAATAAGCATTGCTTCCCTTGTTGCCCGGTGCCAGACTCGAGTCTCAGGGACGGGCTCAATTACAATATCAAATTAAAATTTTAATATCAATATTAAACCTGAACTGAGAAATTTGACTAAAATAAGAGAAAGCAGAGTATGCACGTGGGATTTCCAGGGAGGGGTCCTGAAGCAGCATGCACACGGTTCTGCTTTTTTACCAAGGCTTCCAGCAGCAGGAGGGGGGTTGGGCAGAGGGGCGAGGGCAGACTTTTTCCTGTTAAGAGACAGAGAGCAAATATCTGAGGCTTTGTGGGTCTGAGCTCTGGCCTAAGGCCTGTCATTCTTTGGATTGAAATCCCCTAGATTTCAGTCCTTTTGTTGAAGAGGCTGCGGGCTGGATTTGGTCAAGGGCCACAGTTTGGCCAACTCTGCGGTCACGTCACTGTGTATGGCCCTCACAGAGCCTCTCTCAGTCAAAGTATTATTTTATTTTCTGTTTCTCTGCCACAGTGTGAACCCCACAAGGGCCATGGTCTCCACTGTTTTATTCTCTGCCGTGTCGCTTAGGCCTAGCACTTTGCCCGGCACCAGGGGGCCGCTCCAGTACTGGCTGAAGGACACATGTGCCATCAACCCCAGTCTCATCTTGGTGACTCACCTGTGAATGGGGGGACCTTCCAGAACATGCATTCTGTGAGTCTGACTCCAGAGCAACGTGGGGACTTGTGTCCACCTGGCAGCTGTGTGAGGGCTCCCTAGACGTCCAGTGTGCGGCAGAGCCTGGCAGACAGGCCAGGGCTTCCCTCTCCCCTGCACCCTTCCCAGCATCAGGCCACCCTGATGGTGCTCACAGAGGGATTTTTCTGTAAAATGAGCCTGGCCCTCAATTCTTAGATGACAGTGTGTCGCCCCAGCTGCTCTCCAAAGAGGCATGATGGTCAGCTTGTTTAGTGGCTGGCAGAAGCACAGGCACTGGGCAATTGGGATTGACCCTGGCTGTGAACACTGTTTCCGGGCTGCTTCTCCACTGTGGCCCAGCCTATCCTCCACCTGGGCTGCTGCTTAGCACAAACAGCCTCCCTCTGTGTCCATGCTGATTCTTCCACCTGGACTGTCCTTCCCAAGCTCCTTTCCCTGGGCCTGGCAAACTCCTACGCATCCATCCAGACCCAACTGACCGCTAGCCCTCCGTGCCCCAGGCACGCTTGCTGCTCCTTTGTCTGCTTTCCCATCGTCCTTTAACCCTTCTCAGTTGTCAGACGTCTAATTGCCATTGACTTGGGTCTCTGTCCCCTCCGGCCTCACTCCTCGGGTCCGGCTTCTGAAAGTGCTCAGGAATGGCTTACAAGAATCGAGAGGATTTCAATCCATGGCAGGTTCCAGGGAGCCCGAGACCAGGCTCGCCTGACATTTCTTCTCCTGGGTGGTGACACTGGGCTTTATCACAGTTGCAAGTGGCATTTTTGAGAGCCTTGCACGAGGAGGGAGCTGGATGGCAGAACGGGGCAGCTGGCTCTTTAAGAGCTGGCACCTGTCCTAATGGTGCCTCAGGCCCATTGTGGCCATCTGGAGGAGGCAGAGCTGGGAGGCTCAGGGCAGGGACTCAGTGGGCTGAGTCCAGGCCAGGTGGTGGTGATGGGGACAGGCCTCAGCCTCAGGACATCAACCTGGTGGCAAGTCCTCACCTCTCGAGCCCTGGCTTCTGTCCCTTCCCACAGACGGGCTGTACCCCGATTCCCCCTGACGTCCCTTCCAGGGTCAGTGGCGATTTCCCTGAGGAAGGGTTGGTCATCAAATTGGATCCTCCTGCTGATCAAAATACCCGCAGCCTTCAATGCTGCCCTGCTGGGGGCCCTCCTCCTGCCCTTGTCACCTTCCCTCCTGGGACGCCTGTGCTGGGAGACAGGGCCATGGTGCCCTGCAACTCGGGGACAGCTGTGGCTTTGAGAAAGAGCTGTGATGACCACGTGTCACCCCAGCTGCTCTCCAGAGAGCTCCCCGCGCCCGCAGGTCTCAGTCCTATTGTTCAGTGAGGCTCAGAGGAGCGAGGGGTGTGCTGTGGGTGACCCCTCGGCCCATGTCTGAGGTCACCTTCAGACTGTTCCTGCACGCACCGGTGACTTCTGTGTCTCTGTGGGTGTTCTCTGACAGAGGGAGAGAGTGGCCTGTGCGCCTGGCTGGTGTGAGGTGCCAGAGAGTGACACCTGGAGCCCTCCTCAGATCCCCGTCCAAGGAGGGGGAAGGTGGGCAGGGGACACCACAGCTTCCATGCCCTCGGTGGGCACTGGGGTCCCACCAAAGCCCTGGGCTCCCTGTGGGCGAACCCCCCACGGAGGCACCGCCCACTCCCTCACTCTCATTGGCTCTCTTCCCGTCCCGTGGCACCGCCCACTCCCCTGCCTGTGCTGCCAGACCCTGTGTTGGAGTCCACCTCTGGGGAAGCCCGATGAAGATCCTTACCTGGAACCCACACCTGCCGAGTGGCCAGCCGAGCTCTGATGCTGCACGGCTGGCGCAAGCCCCTCACCACGCCGAGGTTCGTGGGCCTGTGGAAACTTGCTGGGTCTAGGCCAGAACTCGAGGCCACAGGGCCGAGGTTCTGGGTGTTCGTGGCCTCAACCTCTGACTTCAGTGCGGCCTGGATGATTGTCATTGGATGCAGAAAGCAAGACACCAAAGCTGCCTCTGGCCTTAGAGCAGGCTGTTGGCTGAAGGGGGAGAGAAGAGGTGGGACAGTGGGGAGGGGACCAGGGATGCCACTCACTGTCCTTGCCTCTGGTCACTCACATTTCTCCTTCCCAGGCTCACCCTCGGCCCCACGTGCCATCTTAGCCACGGCCTTCAGGGGCCATGAGCTTGGCAGGGAAGGGGGTCTTCTGGGGCAGGTAAGGCCAGATCCACCTCATAGCAGGCCCTGTGTGGACTGAAGGGCGTGGACATCCTGGTCCCTGACGGTCAGAAAGTGGCTTGGCAAACCACACTGGCTCTCCTGGAACAATTGTGAGCTATTTGAGGCTCAGGACGTTTCTGTTCTAAACTGAGGGCTATTGACTTCAAGTGTTTAGGGCAGCTCAAGGAGGGAGCTGGAGCCGTCCAAGGAGGATTCCTCCAGAAGGGGGAAGAGCACTTAGGTCCTGCAGGAAGCAGAGAGGACATCAAGTAGGGCACCTGAGGAGTCCGTTCAGGGAGGAGGGGTAGGGCAGGACCTCGGCACTGCAGCAAGGAGCACAGCAGCAGGGAGCAGAGCAGCAGGGAGCACAGCACCTACCACTCTGGTGGGAGGGGACAGGAAGGACAGTGCCTGGAGCTGGAGCAGGGTCCCTAGCCAGTGCTGCTGGCCAGGAGGCGAGGAGCCAGCCCCAGCCCATCTGTGGCTTTTCTGGGAGCAGCTTCTCTGACTACGCTCTCCAGCCTCTTGTGGAGGGTGCATGAACCCAACAGGGAGCTGGGGCCCTGGGGATAGGTCAGGCCCAGGGAATAGTGCTGGGCAGGGAAAGATGCAGTGGTCACAGGAGACCTCAACCCGAGGGGCTTCAGGGGATCCTGGTCTGCATTTGCACATGGCAGTGTCTGGCAGGAAAGCGGCAGCCGGTTTCTGTGGTTAGGCTGTCGCTGGTTTAATCAGCAAGTGTGCCAGCCTGGAAGCTCTGGGGACAGCTTTCCTTTGGACTGGGCCCCCCTTCTCCACCGAGAGCCACAGAACTGCCTGCATTTGGAGCCATCTCTTAGTTTGCCCCTTTGCTTGTGTTTCACTGACCTTGAAAGAGCCATTTCCAGGACAGTCACTAATGGACCTTCACATGATGACAATAAATATCCCGGCGCTCGGAAAGGAGAAAGGAGAAGCTGACTCTAGAGATGCTTCTTGTGCACCAAGGTCCTCTTACGAGGAGTGTTGTGACCAATTCCCCCAGACTTCCTCCGATGGCCCCTTCAATGCTGGAAATGATGCTGGGTTTAAAAGTCCTTAAACATTTGTGCAAAACCCATTTCACCCCATAGAGTAACGTAATGGCCGATAGCTTATTTGTTTTTATGTGCTTTCTGTGAACACAAAACACCAAGAGCGGATGGTGAGTTGGCCATGTCAATCAGTACCGGGTGGGAAAGATTCTGCTGGTGGATGCATTTGGAATGTTTATTGAGTTTTCTGAGACTTAAAAGATTCTGTAAACTAGGGAAGTGGGATTCCAGGCCCTGACTCAGGCTTATTTTCCCCCTCACCTGCCGACATGCTGCTGCAGCCCACCCGGGAACCCTGCCTGTGCAGATGGCCCGATATTCAGGTCTCCATCTGGGCCTGCCTAGTCCCTCCTAGCCAAAGGGTGGAAATGAATCCTCTTGCAGAGCCAGCCTCTCTACCCAACCTGGGAATAAGGAACAGGCTTAGCTAGC